CTGTCCCTCCCTGCGCGGCGGCGACGTCTCGTCCAGGAGCGACGACGTCCAGATGACCCCGGACGAGGCCTTTGCGGCCTTCGCCTTCGCAGCGGCCTATGCCGCGGGTGGGGGGGCGGGCTTCGGGGACATGGCGGAGACCTGGCAACAGCGAGACATGGGGTGGTGGAGTTTTTTAATACGGGGCCTCAGTAGGGGGACAAGCCGCCGGGGAGCAGGTCTTGTTAGGCTAGAAGGGAGTTGCACCATCCACATTAAACCTTGGCAGCTTCGTGAAGGTCACCGGTGTCGTCTTGGTCACTTAAGACATCTTAAGACCCTCGGTTTGTCATTGGTTTTTCCAGTAGGCCATGAACCAATCACAAAGGCGGCAGGCCACGCGGTCGACATGGGCGTCCGGCAGGTCAAACTGTCCACGGCGGTCCACAAGCCTTGAGTCGCGACATGCACGTCACTAGATCCCCAAATTGGAGGGCACCGATGTGCATATGTCTAGATGCCCTACATAATTATGAAGATCTAAAGCGTTGAAGATGTTCAAGGTGTTTAATTGATGATTGTAAGAGCATTTCATAGGGGGTCTTATGGATCAAGAGAATCAGAATCGGGTGCCCATCTTCAGAATCCATCCATCCATAGATGGCGTGAGATCTGACCAGAACGGACCCGCCTTCTAAGGAGACCTTGTTTTGGGCACAGCAGCTGGGCCTCAGTCGTCCGGGTGGCCTGCCCGGCAGCTTTTGTGGCGCTGGCACTGGCGGACTGGATGCTGCCAGCAATGCTGTGGAGCAAACCGTGCGAGGGCTGTGTTTGTCGGTGGGCCTATACTCCGCTGGGGTGGTTGTGACCTGGCATGTTTAACGATGATCGCTTACGGATGTTTAAGGTGTAAATAGCACGTGGCTGCTGTAAGATATTGCGAAGTGTGTTTGGATGATTTTGGATAACACTTTTCCACATCTCGCACTCTTCATTGGTGCCCAAAGACCGGAAAACGAGTCTCCTTCTTCCGCAGCTCAGTCCACCCGTGCTGTCTCCACACCGCGCCGGCTTCCTGGGAGCTTTCGGATCAGGTGAGCTTCATTGGTTTACCACGGGTCGGCTCCTTTGCCCGGCGCATGGCCATCGTGCAAGGCGTGAGCCAAGTGGTCATTGCCTCACAGGCGCTGAGCGAAACCACGAGGTTAAGGGAACGGCGAGAAATCGCCCAAAGGGGGAAGGCCAGGCATTGACTGTTGAGGTGATGATGAAGCTGGGATTTGTGGTCAGAACAGGTGATCTATATATCGATTTTATGATAAATATATATAGCACAATCATAAACTGGAACATGGAACTTGAACTGGAACTTAACCTTGGCTACTTATGCTCAAACTGGAACCTTGGAACTTGAAACATGGTGAGAGTTTTCTCCCAAATTGGACACTTGGTGGTTCGTCGTCCCGTCAGGATCCTGGAAAAGTATGTATGTGCATGATGTGCATGTGGTGAATTTTAGATTGCAGTACTTGTCAGGCCTCTTCACAGATGCATTTCACGTATACTCACATCTCCTCACCCCCCGGGCCTGTCTCGCCTCCCTCGCGGCTTCCGCGCCAAGGTGCCCGCGGTGCGCATGGCCTGCCGCAACGCCACGCTGTCCTTCACCGAGGCGGCCCAGGACTTTGCGGCAAAGCATCCGGACGTGCTGAGCGTCATGGGCCGCTTGCGGATCGAGGGAGGTGCCATGTGTAGCCAGGCGGTCTGCGTGGCGGTTTGCGTGGACGATCTGTTCAGATTTCAGATTCTGTTTTTTGGGCATAGCTTGTTCATGTCCCTCTTGAGTAGAGTTCACTCCTCATCTATGCGCAGGTGGCCAGCCGTAGCTTAGAGGCCGCGCAGTCCTTGCGGCAGATTGTGGATGACTTGGATCTGAGCGAAACGGCGGAGAAGGTGAAGACGGAAGGCGTCGCTTGCGCCCAGAAGGTGAAAGACTTTATGGAAACCGAAGATTGGTCCATGCGTTCTTGCTTCGGATGGAAGGACCACCGGCGTTTCCGCGGGTTTTGTTCAAGTTTTCCTGTACTTCAGAAAATGGACCTTGTTGTGGTACACTCCGCTCCACCAATTCTCATCCAACAATCCTGTTGGTCCGACTGAGAAAGATCGCACCGCAGGAGGACAGCAGTGATGAAGAGGACTGGTATGCACAGAATTTAAGGCTCAGAAAGCAACGGGAGTCGTGGAAGCCTCGCCTCGGGTCATGGGTGACCCGAGTTTGCACCAAAGAATCATTTTCTGTGTTTAATAAACATATTTGCTTTGGAAGACCTTCTTCAACAAATCTAGATCATGCAGAACTTGCAGATGTCATTCTTAAAGAGTGAGTGCTTTTAAACATGTTTGGTGAACCAAGGTGAGGATGTCAAATCTTCAGAGGGCTCGCCACCTGGAGGGCTGTTTGGGGGAGGTGGTGGCTTTTAACCGCGACAGCGGGAGATATTTGGTGCAGCTTTTGCCTCCAAGGCTCCCTCCAGGAGCTCCCAACTTCCGAGGGGAAGCAATGGAAGCCGAGGAAGAAGCAGACGCACCAGACGCACCAGAGGCACCTGAGGCGCCTGTGTCTAAGCTGGTTCTCTTACAAAATCTACGCCCGGCGGTCGAACGCACCGTCAAGCCTCCATTGAAGGAGTCCAATTTCATTTGAGACGAAAAGAGTGGACGCTGGGAGTCAGGCTGAAGGGTCACAATGGGATGTTCAGGTCAAGAGTCCCAGTAGAAACGAATGAGACACTGGGTTCACGAGATACGCAAGGTCACACTGAGGTGATTTGGTGAGCAGATGGTTTAGTATGATGGGAAGGGTGTGCGCTCCTTCTCACCAACATGGAAGTGGGAAACGTCCGGTGTAGTGATGGTTTAAAGAAATCCGGGCCATTCTCCACTTCCACGTCCATTGGGATGCATTTGTGCCCCAACCGTTTGCTGATCGTACTCCCCTAGCCGTTGGCCAAACCGCACACCATAAGCCCGAGGTATAACCCAGGGTATGTCATGCGTTGGTCGGATGTTGGTTTTCCTTAACATTGCATTGCAGTCATTACATGCCAAAGACTAAATGTATATATAATTTAATGCAATACATGGTCCTTAGCTCGAGTCTGGCTTCTTTCCCAAAAAGTTTTGTCTCCCACAGTTTTTGCAGGCCTTTGTGCTGGGTTTTCCCCCACTACGTCAATATGTGCATGTTATTTTCTTTACTTGTGTACATCATCAATGAAGTCGCAACTGACTACACACCCAACTGGCTACACAGTTCCTTCCCCTGGAGTTCTTGCTATATACTGATGACCGGGTGGGCGGACTAGAGATTCCTCATGTGCGGGTGGCCGTCAAGGGGGCCACCCCGGCACATCGGCAACGGAATTGGACCTGGTTCCGGCCTTGAGATTGGTCTCAACTCTCAACCCAAGAGGGGGTTCAACCTATCAGGAGTCCTATCAGGTATACCTTTTACCCTATCATATATATATATGCATATATATATACATATATATATATATACATATATATATATTCACTCAATTCACCCTGTCAGGTATATACATAAGCAGTGTGAATTGGTGAAACTCACCCTCGCGACCGATGGCGCCCCCAATGGCCAAGGTCCTCACCAGCCGAGGTGCGACCGTGCGTTCCACCGTACCGGCTTGCCATGGGGTGCGATGTGATTGCCACATATGGACACATTGTTTTCTAGAGATGTGTAGAGATTGCCGTAATCAATCAGCACTAATGTACAATTCAAATGGGAGGGCATATTAATCAAGAGTCTACATTGATAGTCCTGTTGCATCTCCATCTGCACGGAGTCTGTCCATTTGCAGACTGAGCTGCGGGTTGCAACCCGGGCCCCATGGTAGACCGGGTGGGGCATTCATTCAGAGATGTTCTGTTCATGATGGGGCTCACTGCAATGGTTTGACCATTGTTGACCCACTGCATTCCACACTTTTTGCCAAGGCAGGTTGAGAATGAAGACCTCAAAACTTCCAATGACATTAAACCCCAGAAAGAGAGAGAGAGAGAGAGGGTGAAGGAGAGAGAGAGAGAGAGTGAGAACTCTTTAAGATAGGTCAGAGGCTTGCTCAACCTCGAAACTGGATTCACTCGATTCACTTGGCAAACCACCGAAACTGGACGCCCACCCACGTGCTCGACCTCGCAGCCTCGTTCAGGTGGGCATCCTGCACGCGTCACCCGAGGAGTTTTGTAGCGGTGGGCATCCCAGTGCGAAAAAGAAGGCACACGGGAGACTGTCAGACTGCCCATGGAAATCCTTGGGGTCTAAAAACCATCCCCTTGGAACTGCCTCTGGTTATAGTTTGATTCGTTCGGGATTCTTTTCCACCTGGAACGGAACAAAACGTCCGTTCGATTCGTTTTTGGGTGTCGTTCGAAAAAGCTTGACGGGTCGGACACCTCCAAGAGCACAATACTTGGAACATGACGACAAGGCACAGTGCTTTTCTACACTGAGGGGGCACCTGGTACTCTAAAACACTCTCTAAAAGATATTTGTGGAAACCCTGAAGAATGTAGAACACCCTGAAAGCCCTTAGCCATGTCTTGCGAAATGAGAAAGAAAGAACACGCGAGAGAGAGAGAGAGAGAAAGAGAGAGGTGACTTGGGAATGTTCCTCTACAAACACGGGATTTGTTGGACGGTGGTAGGAGGTCTTTACGGTTTTGGTGGTTCGGTTCCACTGGTCTCCTCCATCGGCGCACGCCCAGGAGTGCTGTGCCCCAAGACGCCCAGTCCCCAGCCATCAGAGGTGGGTTGCAGCATGTCGGAGCATGTGGCATTGTGCTATACTGCTACTTCATGCGGAAAACATGTTTTCTCATCAGCTCTTGGGTTTCTTTTTTTCACTATAGTGCTACTTCACTTAATAATATTGTGATTGCATTGTCAGTATTATTGCGATTGCATGTTCTTGGTGAGACATCGCGCCCACCACAGCCGTTTCTGAAATCTGGATGTGCAGATTGGACCGGCACCAGTGTCGGAGGGACCGGAGAGACTTCGATCTTGACATGGCACTTCTTTGAGCCATCGGGTCTACCAATGGACGGTGATGAAGGCTGTGATTTTATTGGATTTGGTTCAGTGAGAGGATTTTTGGACACACGCGTAAGTTTAAAGAAATCCATCAAGGAAAACATGTCAAACTACCTACACATACCCACACCGTGTTCCTTCGATGCTTGAGAAGAATAAGGCACCACATGTGGCACCACAGTTTGCCCAGCCTCAACCCTCCCAAGAAGGAAAAGTCTTGTTTTGTTTGCAGTACTGATGTTTACTGTTGACTCTGTACATGCAGCTTGCACAACCCAAAGAGTCCAATTTGGCAGATCTCCTCCACCTCACTGTTTCCCCTGCCCCCTGACCACGTGCCGAAGGTGCGGGAGGCAAGGGCGACGATGGGGCTTTGAACGCCAAGAATGCCCAGAGCGACCTGGAAGTCTTAATGCCAGGACCATGAGCTTGGGGTGTCCAACGGACTACTCTATACAGGCTATAGGGATCTACCCAGACAGGACACCCAGGTCCAGGATGGTCCAGGTATGTTTGATCAGCTTTTTTAGAAGTGGGATGACTCAATCCTTCCCTGGGATGACTTACCTCCGGAGCTGAAACCAGCAACCACAACCGTGGTCGACCTGATTTGTGGTTTGAAATGGTTTGAAGATGTCCTGAATTGCTGTTGCTTGCTGTGCAACAGCATGTGAGACATGTACTATAGGGATGGTCCATCCATAGGATGGTACCTCCTTAGGGACATGAACCACTTACTCGCCTCCCACCTGGCACACCCGGCCGCCGGGCTCCCAAGGCGGCGACGTGGGCGGCTTCGGCGCGTCGGAGGCGGAGACGACGCGCGAGGAGACCGAGACGAAGTCTGAGGATGAGGAGATGGTTCGCCCGCCCCACCGCAGGGCAAGGGAGTGGACAGTGGTGGGCGAGTTGGTTGGACAAAGGATTCATGTCTCATGCCTTTAGCGGATGGATTTTTGAGTATTTTTGGGTTAGGCCACTTTTGTGTCTACATTAGTGGGAGTTTGGGGCGTTTGGAATGATGTTAAGTTTGGGCGGGTCAGTGCATGTGGGGATGTCAAAGGGGGTATGGGGCTCTTCGCAACACTGGCCTCCATGTTGCACACTGTGCTAGTGGCTGGTTCTAGTCCGGCTAATTTGGATGAAGGTTTTATGGCTGATCTGTTGAGAGACATGTGTTTGATTGTTGCCTTTTTCCTTTCTGGCGACCACTAGAGCCATGACGCATAGCCTGCCGGCAGCTGCCACACTCCGCAACGGGCGGAGGCCACCGAGTTTGCTGCCAGGACAACGCGCCGGACGCACCCCGACGGCCTTCGTTGGTGATGATTACACCTGTGGCCCAGACCTTTCAGCTGATTGGAGATGCTATTGGTTCAATGCACGACGTGGGTGAAGGCATGATGAATCTGGGCTTTGCCTCGAAGTGATGGCTGAAAATTACGATAGCCAGCCGGGCCGATCGGCTAGGCTAAAAATATGTTCTGCGAACGAAGTGAGTCTTTAGGGGGTCTGGAGGGCAGGCTGGGTAAAGTGGATGTAAACCACAATAGCCTGCTGGTGCTTTTACTTTGCCAAGGAGGTGATTTCTTTGCGGTGGGTTGGTGATGCAGAAGATGCAAGGTCAATGGGTTAGTGCATGTTAGTGCATCAGTTGAGGACAGGTGAGAGTGGCAACAGAGCAAGTGCAGCCACAGGGGGCGCTCTGCACTTCCACTGTTTCGTTTCCTCCTTCTCGGTGAAGGAAGGGGAGAGCAGGGTTGAACTCGTGAGGTTCAATGATATTCTGACGTGTATATATAGTTAGCATTATTACAATGTACTGTACACATTTCAGTTATATATACTATACAATATTTATGTATTTATTTATGTATTTATTTTTTATTTATATATTATGATATGTATACATCCAGACGGGTTTACCTGAGACAGTGGTGCGAAATGCATCATGTCTATATATTGTTATTTGTATTTTACGTGCTTTTGTCAATGCTTTTTTTGTGAAATGTTGCGGGACAACAGTTTTTATGGCGCAAGGTGATATTGTTATTGCGTTGAAGGAGTGGAATTTCAAATTCATGAAGGCTTCGTCGCGCATTTTCATGTGCATCTCAAGGGGAGATTTCTGGGGCGTGGTGTGGGGTAGATTCCAGCAGACTCAACCAATAGCTGATGACCAACCTTCCATGTTATATTAATATATATATATATTACATCGCGCCGGGTTTACTCAAGACAGTGATTGCTTTTTTGGCGATGGTCATTGAGTACTCCGTTCCAGAACGCTCACTGTCTTAACTCAAATTGTCTTCCTCTTGGGACAAATGGCAACCATTGGGCCACACAGCCTGCATGAGAACGACCACATTCCCTGAGATGTTCGATCAGGTCAGAATTGCCTTTAATCTCCGGCACAGAAGTCGCTAGTGTTTCCTGTTTTACATTCCTATATAGTGTTGTTTTTCCTGACCCACATGCCCACTCGATGAACGTTAGTAGGCTGGGGAATTCATGGGAATTCCACACGTGCTTTCAAGTTGGTGTCCACCATCACAACGTCAACTTGGGGCGCTTTAAATGGTACCTTTCATGGTTTCTGCATCAACAGCATATTCTGACAGTTCCCCCTACCATGTGGAGAAAAAGTGGGGGATGATGTAGACGGGAACGAGCCTTTCTACCTACAGACGTGTAACGGTTCGTCACCTGCAAAAAATGGCAAACCAAAAAGCCCACGGCCCAGGACATTTGTCCAGGTCCATGAGTGAGAGTTTGAGTGCGCTGGGACGGGGGGTCGGACACCCCATCCCCATGTTGGGGCCACCGGACGCCAAGGACGGGCGTCACCGGCCGGATGGAACAGATTTCCGAGGTAGCGGAAGGCGCGTGGGCCGAGGTTTTTTTTGACACATGATGATCACGAATCCCTAGCCCTGGACCCTGTATGACCTTGTTTCCTTCCAAGATGTATGTGTGTGTGTGATGTTCTTTTTGGTGTATGTGTGTGTGTTGCACCCATCATAGGCCAACATACAGGAGAGGGATAGAGGAGCGTCCATAATGTCATTCTGCGCTTGATAAGGTTTGGCAGGAGTGTTCCTGACGAGTGCTTTTTCTATTTTTCCATGGTCGATTCCAGTATGTACTGTAACATTTATCACTTTGATGGTTCACTTGGTGTGGTTTGCTTATGCTGGAGGCGTGAATAACGACCCGGCTAAATCGAGCGGTTTGTACAATTATTTGTGGTATACGCGGCGTTTTGGCTATGTCGGCAAACCCGTTGGGGTTAGCGAGAATTGCTACTAAGGAGTTGCCAGAAGCTGGACACACTACCCCCGACTTAACATACAGTAGCCCAGACTGGGAGGCAAATGTAAAGAATTGCTGTTGAGGAGTTGCCACGAAGCGGACATACTTGCCCAAGCTTTGCGTTCTTTGAGAGGGCTCCTCGCACGTGGCATGGCGAAGATCTTGGTGACAAACTCAGCTGCCTATGACTGATCGAGAAAACCACCGGGCCAAAGCAAACTCTTTCGAGATGTCGCAGGAGAAAGACTTCCCGAGGAAGAGCCACCAGATGTTCAACTACAAGAGACTGATGTAAAGCATGGCTGCAAGCAATTTCGTGGATGCCACGGTCTCTCACTGCCAGCTTTCAAGTATACAGCCTAAGGAGGGACTGACTATTCTATAATGACATAAGACGATGCGCAGTGCTCAGCGCTCAGATACTTCAAGAGTGAGCCGCTTGGAGCAGTGCGTTCAAAACGCCCAGCAGTCAGGGCAATACTGGTTGTCCCGGCTGCTTTTGCGCCATAGCCTCTGCGCATTCCTCCAGCTTTATCAACCGACTGCCACTGCCTACACTGGACATAGTTCCAGCAAAGATTGAAGTCAACTGACCCGTGCGTAGGTGGCGGAGAAAGCCACAGCCGATCATCGCTGCCTCAAAGCTGACATGACATGATTTGGGCACCGTGCCCACATGTTTGCTTTGAGCTTTCTGAAATTCAAAATCTACACGCTTTCGCCTAGTCTTGACATATTTTTGGGAATGAGTGGAAGCACGCTGAACTTCAACCAGCACGGGCATTTCATAATTTTGCATTTCCATGAGTTGCAGCTGCTATGGCCCAAAGGCCTCTTCAACTTGGGATGCCAAAGTAGTGCCATGATGACATGGCATCGCGCGGAGTATTACTCTGGGGACAGGTGACCTGACCCCACTGGTGCCCTGGTCGCCTTAACTGGCACTTTTTAAGCGAGAACTTTCAATCTCCATTACGACGGCCATCATGGACGAATATACTCTTGGCTCGCCTGTTGCTGCCTGGATCAGTGGAGTGCTGATGACATTCGTTGTGGATGCTACGGAATTGCTGTTGGGATCATTGCTGCGGGAGGCCGTGGGTGTGGGGAGAATGACGTTTGTTGTGGAAGCTATGGCAACGGCATTGCCGGTTCCACTGTTCAACTACATTGCTGCCTGGACCTTGCTGTGATGCAATTGACTTGCTGCGCAATGCATACATGCATAATTATACATAAATCATTATGATATATTACTATATTGTCATTGAACATACCACCTGTGAATATTTTGTCGAGTTTGTCGTTGGCACATATAGGGTGATATGATGATGACGTTCGTAGTGGGGGCTATGGCAACGACATTGCTGCGTGGATCGTTGCTGCGGGCGGCCGTGTGGGGTTGAAAGAGGGACTACGGCGTACGCAGGCAGCGTGACTCCCTTGAGCCTTGAGGAATACGATAGGCGACAGTCACACACTGTGAGCCATTGAGCACGTCTTAGACGCAGGGACCACCTACATTTCAAGGGGTGGGGGTGGGTGGGTGGGTGGGGTGGGGATGATAATGACGTTTGTTGCGGATGCTATGGCAACGACGCGTGGAAAAATGTGCATCACGCTGCCTGCAGCTATTTTCTTCAAGGCTTCCAAGCATGTGCAAAGTGCGCGTCACTGCCCACGTCTCCTCCACCTTGTTTGTGCTTGGGTCCTGGGTTTGTTCATGGAAAGGTGTCATTTGATTCCTGCGATGGCCTATTGTGGGCTTGCTGTTTACATCAAAGCACACGTTTATGCAGCACCAAGGGCTTCAAAGGATCAAAGGGTGCTATCAAAGTGTTCAGGTTTGCGGTTACTGTGCCCTGTTGCAGTTCCGTGTGAAAAAACCACCTTTAAACCCATCGGCACGGTAGATCATCTGGGGCATGTTTACCACCTGTTTAAGTTCCAGCCCTTTTCTGGAATTAAAAATCAACTGAACATAGATGAACCATTTTTCGTGGCGGGTAGGAACTGCCAACCGGTCATCGTATGCAACTTGCTAGAGAGGTCGATTCCTGACAGTTGCATTCACCCAGTGGGTTGCAGAAAACACCCGACAGCAAGTCAGTAACCAGGGATGAAGATGTTTTTTGCGTAGGATTCTGGACAAAACCATGAGGCGATGTTCCACTCCCATGATTTTTTCAGGGACTGGACATTTGTGTGTGTTGAAAAAGTGCAGTTTTTTGCATCAGCAGTCAAGTTCGCCAGGTTTGGGCACCAAGATGATGGCTGGAATTGACAAAATGAAATCGGACGTCTCCGGGCAAACCTTTTTGCATGCCACCTGGTTCTTTTCAGCGAGACCCCTCCAGGTCTCCAGAATGATGGTGGGTTACATGGGCGGGATGGTGGGATACTCGTACCTGGTTACCTGTTGGAGGATTGTTCAACGGCTTCTCGATGTTGCGTTTGTTCGATGTTTGGGATTGACAGAATTTGGGGTGGATTACTGAAGAAGATTGGTAGCTTTATGAACTGAAGAGGGTTGTACAGTCGTTGTATGTTTTTTTTTTGCATTGTTTGATTCACCAGCTCACGCTCATTGCATTATTCTCATAATTTGTGTTCCCATGAGAACATCCTCGATGGCTAGAGCAGAGCAGAACCCTCCTCCACGCAGAAACCGGCTGCAACTGAGGCACAGACAGATCACGAAAGCTTCAAGCAGTTCCTGACCTGATCTGAGCGGAGACCGGGCTTACCCCAAAGGTTGACCGGAGTGCTTGGAGGAGCACAGACCGCATCTTTCTCACACGTCTAGCACTCCCGGACCGAACCTTCTTCACTGTTTCGGAAGCCTTCCGTTCATGGCTCTCCGAAGTGTTTAAACGGGAACGATTGGGAACCCGCCGAGCTGATCTGCCATTTTTCGACACCGCGGGCTCGACCGAGACCCGGACCGGGACCCGGACCGGGACCCGTTGCTGGGTGGCTTCGTTCGCTTCGACCCTCGGTTGCCCAGGTTCCTGACCCAGGTGATGAAGGCGAACGTCGACTCCGACGAGGGCTCCGGCGCGGAGATGCTTCGAACGTCCATGGCCAGCAAGAAGTCCAAGAGGAGCGGTACTCGGTGTGCTGGGATGTTGTTGTGTGTGTGGGGGGGGTCCATTCCGGAGGAGACAGAACAACGCGCTTTGAGTTGGGGATGTGGTGTGGGACTGTAAGTCAGCAGTAGCCTTCGGCTGGACATCGTTTTCGGAAAAAGTGATTTGACTGCAAAACCGATAGGGGCCTACCCGAAACCGATACCCTCTAACATGGGTGATGGCCCACCCAAAACCGATACCCCAAAGAGTTGTAGATGGGACAGGGGTTCGTCTGTACACGCAGCAATCGGATTGTCTGTACACGCGGTGACGGGGATCGTCTGTACACGCAGGAATCCTATGTACACGCAGCTTCCGTATGCGGGGTGCCTAAACAGTGGCCATACTTTGGGTTCCTACGGTAGGTGCAAAGGCCGGGTGTTGATCCAGGGTGCTCAGATGTGTGTGAGCCCCACCCCTCCCCACCCAACCCCACCTCACCCCACCCCACCACCGCACCCTTACTTCAACACTGGGATATTAGATATGAATGCTAGTCGAAGTGAACGTCATTAGCCCCACCCCACCCCACCCCACTCGATGTGCCCTGTGCGCGCAGATGATCCAGATTTGTGTGCGCAGATGATCCAGATCTGTGTACGCAGATGATCTTGGCTGTGTGCGCAGATGATCCTGATCTGTGTGCGCAAATGATCCCCTGTCCGTTGTAGATGTATAAGACAACCTGAGACCGATGGGTACCGCCCAATTACATGTAAAGATATGCCGAAACCTGAAAACCGACAGCGGCCCAGGGCCCACCCAAGTTATAGAGACGACCTTGGCAGGTAATCAGTCTGACACTAATATGATGGCACATATTTGCGAATGGGTGATTGGTTTTGGATCTGACATGGCCTGCAATTATTGTACACGACTTTCAACTTGCATCATTTTGGTACTCACTTAACTTAGTAGTGGCACGAGCGCGAAGGAGGAGTTTCAAGATAAACTAGTTTAGATTTTTCCAGTGGATAGGAAGCATGAAACATCATGAAACCTTTTGGGGGCCTCGGATCATAAATCGCTCTTATTTGGCTGGTGGTCAATGGGGGCCTCAGATCCGTGGCATCCATAGTCAGAGTGATCAAGGCCTGGGTGCTTTCCTTGTGGTGGTCAATGTCAAATGTCTTTGTCAGGAGGACCACCTTCGCATCAGCTTTATCAGGGCGTTTGAGGAGCAAGATCAAGATGCTCGGATTGCAAGGGATTTGAATCCACATGACTCCATGACCGGAAGATGACGGAAAATGACTATACATAGCAGACTATGAATATTGTTTTGGTTCTTATGATTCATGATGTCGTTTGCAACTTTTCTTCACTTTAAGTGTTTGCAGGCGTGATAGCAGGTTTTGCAGGGGCCGTGCGTTCCTTGGGGGCACACCCTGGTGTACTTGAATGTTTTGGATCTGAGGATCAAGCTTTGCTCCAGGACCAGAAGAAGTGGGCAAAGCTTGGATGAGCCAAGCAAACTGAAGCTGGGGTCCTGTGTGGTTTTCAGCCCGGATCAAGTCAAGACTTGTGCCCCACCCTGAGATCAGAAGTTGGACTCGCGTGGGAGCACTTGTGAACTCCGGTTTGAGATCCCAAATCAGGTTTCATTTGAACATGGCTGGTGCAGACAAGGGAAGTTGTGCGGACATGGTGGACACATGGATGCGATCCTCGCGTGTTGAGGAGTTGGGTCTCCCAACTCGGGTTCGATCTTTTCACCTCCAGAAGCAACGGAGCTCGTGTTGCCCGAAGTCAGACAAACGGGGGGCCAATGGCCAATGGTGCCACTCCTTGATCCTTGGGATTGACAGATCAGGAAAGCTTTGTGAGGCTCCATGGCACCGCAGAAATTGCAGGTGTGCATGTTTTGTGTTGGGTGTCGCGCATCCATTGCACTATCATCCGACGTGTCCAGCACGACCAGGGTCGAGACATCCACCGATTCACGGTCCGGAACGTCCCGAGACCTTGGACTCCGCTGGTCGCAGGACTCGCAAGAGGTGCATTTGGATTTGTGGCCAAGTGGTCTCCACCTGGTTCTTCGCCTTGATGTGCCCTGGCTCTATGACTGAAGGAGTGGCTGGTCTCGAGCCCGAAATCACACAGCAACAGATGCCTCCAAAGAGGTGTTTCACCAAAGGGCAGAACAAAAAACACTGGTTGCTTGTTTGTTGCTGTGGCTGGGAGCAGTCACCAGCAACGATGAAGATTGCTCCGGCTCCGGCATCAGCATGCTTGGCAAACTCACCACCTCACTATACCCCGCTGGGGAGAGGGACTATTTCGGGTATCCTTCCTGCTTCCACTGCACTAGCAGGCTTTTTCTCAGCTCCACTGCTGATCAAACCTTTGTACACACCGCTTTGGGTACTTAAGGCCACTCACTGAATCCTGGGCTGAGAAAAAAGACTGAGCACTCGGAAGGAAATCAGGAGATTGCATCCATTCGGGGCCATACAGATCTACAAATACCATACCCCACAAAGACTGCCAATGATCGAGGACCAACTTCAGCAACCCCACATGGCCACCTACTTTGGGCCACCCATCCTTTGTTTGGGGCACCTACTTTGGGCCCACACCCTCCTTTCGATCGCACGCATGCGGTATCGGGGGATGCCCAGATCCTGGTCCTTCTTACTGCTTCACTCCATCGGGCTTCTCCTGGTGGCAGACCAGACGACGGCCACTCCAGACGTTTGGCTCGGACTCGCTTGGGGCTCCTGGACAGCACCGCAGCCGGAGCCGTCATCCGTGGGTCGGAGGATGGATGGAGGGAAAAAGGGACTCCAAGACAGATTGAAGGGTCGCCCCCTGAACTTCAGGAGTATGGAAGGAAGGATCCCCAGAACTTCAGTGAGTGTCCTTGAGTGTTTGGGAGGAGGCCTTGGGTTTGGCCCGAGGTTGGATTGCCGGAAGTGAACGGACATTGACCCCGGGGAATTTGCACCGGTTCAACGTGTTGACGAGGGTGTGGAGGCGACCTTCGATGACCAAGGTTGGAGAGGATTGAACGGAAAAAAAGCAGAACACTTCTCTTATCTCCTTCTATATCAAGAATAGAAAGTGGGGAATGCATCAGAGGTGTTCTATTGTATACATAGAATACACCAGAGAGGTTGCTCGCCCACCTCACCGCACCTGTTGTTTGAGACGTTGCCACATCCTTCGCGTTTGGGAGACGACGGGGGGTTCCCGAGATCGGGTGTTCAACCGGGCTTTGTCGGTGTTTCGTTCAGAGAATGATGAGAATGTATCATAACCCTAGAAGTCCAGTTCGACTATATTTTGACCGGCTGGAGTAAAGGAAGTTTCCTTTCAGTTCCCTTAAAGACCATTCTTTTTATAGTCTTTGACTCCCAGGGATAATGTATGTTTGTCTATATGGTAGTCGAAAATAGTCAAAAGGTCGACATGTTTGGCATACGTTCTTGGTTCTTGCCAGTGTGCTTGCTCATTAGGAACTCCCATCTAGAGAAAAGTGGTCTAGTGACCTCGGCATAGATGACAACACCCAACTCCAGTAATTAGTTCACTGAAATGCAATCTAAAGCAATTTGGTTTAGATATTTGCTGTTCAATTCAGCATTTGCACAATTTATAATCAATCCCTTTTTCACAGTCGCTTGGGCTTGCATCAGAAGATGCATGCGTCAGTAGCAAGGGTATAATGGCCACCTCGTATGGAAAGACGCAACATCAAATAGAAAGGCCATAGACCCGTGACCTGATGGATGCCTTGCTTGCAATTGGAAAGATGAACTGGAAAATCGCTTGATACCAGGCTTACAGCCAATATACTCCTCAAAATGCCACTGAGCAGAAGGAAAATAGGGCAGAACAAGCAGAACAATACCAAGTGATCCGCATGGTTCACACCCCATGATCAACGTCACCGTGAAAACCATCGCTTCGTAGCTGGTCCCTCAGCATCACAGATGACATTGCAACTTTCCTGACAGGCTATTTTGTCTTCTGCGTTTTGGAGCTATTCATGCGAAGTGTGGCGCACAAAGGCAACATTTGGCGGAATCGATGGTTTATTTTTGATACTTGGCGAAGCGGACGCTACAGCTTTTGAGGGATAAGTCCGGGATAAGTTGTTGTTTTTATATAATGCTTTCTTCCAGATTCCAGATAGCAATCTTTTCCAAGAACTGGGGACAGTAGAAGAATCAGCATCGTTTGGAGGGGAACGATTCCACTCAAATTCAATGTTCTGAAATGGGAATCTTGACGACCCTAAAAACAGCTACATACTTTATCGGGAAAGAAACAACACTCGTCTTGGTGATGAGGTAGGGAAACACGAGATTGAAAAGCCACCTGAGAATTCTTTAGTCTTGCGGTTCAGACTCCAGACTCCAGACTGGCGTTTTTTGTTTCAATCAGTGTTTGAGCCAAAGTTTCAACTGCAACAATTCGTGCTGATTGAGTCTAGTTGTTCCGCTCACTCGCAAAATGCTTCCCTAATTATATACAGTAATACGTTAATGCCTTTGCCACCGTCACATTTTCCCAGCATAGTATATGCTAAACTACATTTTGAGAGAACCTCCAAGGATTTGAAAGGAAATGAGCAGGCAATCCTGACAGGACTCCGGAAAGTATTATTACTATAGTAGGAGGTTACTAATATTTAATTAGTGTATGCCAGTGTATGCCATGGTACATGAGAACTCACCCTCTAACTCATACTCATCAAGTCTTCATGCTCACATATGTTTCATAAATCATCATCAAAAACATCACGGTTACCACCCATAATTCAATCAGTTTCATGAACGTATAAAGGTAGGCACCTTGGTGATTCCACTATGCAAGGCTGGTTCATTGAACCTTGTGATCCACACACTACTGAGGCACACTACTGGAGACCTTGCAAAACCAAGGACAAATTGTGTACAAGCATTTACTGAAGACCACATGCCCAATCCACATGCCCCTTCCTTCCCACCCTTCACTTTTCAATAACACTGCACTTTTACACGCACTTGGCCTTGGCTCCAGAGGGGCCAAGGACCCAGGACCAACAAGCAGGCTGCTCTCAGCACAGGGATTCACACAATTCAGCTGCAAACATCATTGCACTTGAAAGTAGATCATGGTTGTACTTGATAGTCCCATCAAGCTTCGTCCCCACAGGCATACGGTTAGAACCCTCTCATTGCATTCAGAAATGGGCTTGCATGTGTTTTGTTCTTCAGCACCTTCTCATGCACCAAGACATCCAATCCTTTGGCAGTCATGAAGTGCCTGCCCGTAGAAAGAGTGTGGCCCTTGCGTCAGGCCATGGAAACTTCATAAGAGGTCGGCCCAGTCCGGCAAAGAACTGCATGGCCTCACGCAATATCTCCGTCACACTGTTAGATACATGTTTCCACAAAGTCACAAAGGTGATATGATCATAGCCTGCAAGGGTTCAACCAAGTGAACTGTCCCCATTGACTCACCATGGCTCCTTATCATCTCCAGGAAAGGTTGGGTTGTGTGTGTGTGGGTGGACCTCAAGCTTTACACATTGAAGGAACATGACCTACAAACTTGTCAGAGTCTGACATTGTTTAAGCTTGAGCTGACACATCCAGAGAGCCAGACTCTTCAATACAAAATTTGAGGCGTCTTTTTCTTCGGGGTCTTTGGTCCTTGACTTTTCCCACTCCTATCAGGCCTGCCAGGCACCCCTTGCTGCAGCACCCGCGGTGCCTACCGGGATGGAGAATGGTCGCCCCTGAGAAGGTCACTGGTCCTTGGTCTGAGGTTCACCTGTGGTTTCTTCAGCCCAGTCGACCAAAAAGTGGTCCACAAACCGTTTCAGAAACAATCCCTGATCCACAAACCACCAGTTTCAGAACGGGCCCAAATTGCAGGTAAGTTTGAATCTCTTGAAGCACTAAGAAACGGGTTGATTTAGTTTGACAATGCTCTCACCGCCAGCAACACACCAACAAGTTTCTTTGTCAAGCTGGGCTCCTTTTTTCTGTCTCCGGGCAGATCTATCAAATGTGCTTCAACTTCTTCTCCTGCACCAGCGCCTGACAGTATCAATGCCAAACCTTGGGTTTCCTGCGGATCTGCCTGAATTCTGTTTGCATATCTCTCCATGAACTCTTACACTACCATGCTTTTGCTTTTTGATGACTGCCGGAGTTTCTTTATTTGCTTCTGTGAAGGTGGCTTCTTCTCCAAGGGAGGTTTTGTGCCACTCGCCTTTGCTTCACCAAATTGTACTGTTCTTTTGGAACGTTTTTTTTGCCAAGGGGAGCCCCTTTGTCAACCTTTCCACAAGCAGGTCTCGGTCAAGTTGGTACACTGCCAAGGTGACTTGATGCTCAACGGTTTCAACCGGCGAGAGCTTCAAAGCAAATTGGAATGTCATCAGCGATGATCTCAACCCCCTGTGCTTTTGCAAATTCATGAATATATTCACCCACCTTTGCTGTTCTGGCGATAGCACGTGCGTTCACCACAAAGATCTTCTACTTCCTTCTGAGAAGTGAGGGTTCCCAAGATCTTGCGTTGCTCCAATGGTTGGTGCCACTGATCACTTCATTGCAAACTGGAATGTTTTTCTTCTTCCCAATCACAAATTTGGCTCGCTGCAGTGCAGCTTGCTTTTGACGTGGAAATCCTGTTCCATCAATCTGTTTCTTAGAGTTGGCTCGACCATAGACACACGCTTTCTTACTTTTGCATCCTTCTTGAGATTGGTCTTCATACTTGCCACTCTTTCCTTAACCATGGCTAAAACCACAGGCGACCAAAAACCAAAGGCCAATGACCATCAACCTTCACAGTGTGCTTTAGCTTGTGGAGTGAAAAACCAACAGCAGCTTTAATGAGGACATGCTGGTTGACTGAAACCCATTGAGAAAAACAACCCTACAACCCTTAAACACACACACACACACACACACACACTTGAGCCAAGCTTCAGCAAAAGCATCATTCCTTGCAATGCAACCGGGAAGCCCTTAAGGTACGGAAAGATTCCTTCTGAAAAATGAAAACTGTCGCAGGCAGGGCATGTAAAGAGAAACAGAGTAAATACAGTTTTTGATTTGGTTCAATCATAGCACTGGTGCTTCGGTGGTGTTTGTTCCTGGGTAGGTGGCCTTGGCTAGCCCTTTCTTGCACCAAGCAGTTGATTCAGTGCAGTGCAATGCTGAAGCTGGTTTTGGACCAAGTCTCAGTGTCCGGAGTTGCTCCAGTGGTGCGCACTTCATGTCACTGCTTTTCACATCTTCCCAGCTTCATCGCTTCACATGGAAACTTTTGCTCCAATAAAAACACACTGGTAGTTTGAACCAAGACTCTGCGGGTGTTTGATGGATAGTGTACGGGAGCTCAGCATCACCAAATTTGGTTGCAAAAGCCAAAGCCCCAGTTACCATGAACATATTATTTTTGATGTTGGCACTGTTTAAGACCTTCCACAACCACTTCACCTTAAACAAAACACCTTTGCCCCAAAAATTGTTCAGGGGCCGGAGTAAACCTTGTCCGACGAGGACCTTTTGCTCTTGCACTTCGCCGTGCTGGAAGCCTTACTTCCTCTCTTGGTCCCGCACGGTGTGGGTCAAGGCGTGGTGCGGCACGGTTTGGGGCGTGAACGTGCGGGGGAACCACCTGGTGTTGAGCGTGCGGCACGGCACGGATTTCTTGGATGAGTCGTGACTTCACCGGGAAGTTCCCTTCACCAGTGCAGCCTCGGTCGCAGCACTCGTCCACGGGATCCACGCGTTGAGAATCGTTGAGATGTTTGGGTCTGGGTTTGGTGGGTTTGGTGGTGGGTCCAGGACGGGTCAAATCTCAGAGGTTGACATTAATAGTCAGATGCAACGGCAAGAAATCCACCCACTCATGGAACTCTTGGCTTGAGTCAAGAGTTCCGGAAGGTGGGTCACATGCCCTTTCTCGAAATCCCTTCGCTGGGATCCTTTGGGCTGGGACGAGCTGCGGCCATTCCTTTCTTCCCCAAGAACACCTGCCACGTTCGTTCCTGGCTCATGCCCATGCCCGGTGTCACCATTCACAGCCCATGTTCACCTCCAACCCGGTGAAACCCGCTGAAACCAAGCTGGGCACCGTGCCCGCTCCGGGTTCAACCGCCTGGTCCGCTCCGACACCGAGGGCAGTTCATCGTGCTGTCGCTCCGGTGGCTTCATTGCGTGCGCTGCCTGCGCCTGGTGCCGCGCGAAAGTCGCGCGACCATGGCAGCCTTTGGGGCGTTGCCCTTGGGCGTGGTGATGTTGCTTGGCCAGTGGTTGTTGAGTCCGGCTGGAGGAATGGAACAGGAATGACGAACTAGAGTGTGTGGCCAGAAGCTAGGGTTTCAGTCTTGTATGATATGATATGTTGCACCAGTCAATTTTAGCAATGTTTTGCCACCTGTGGTCATGCAGTGCTTGAATTGTAAAGACCAAGTGCAAGGACGGTGAACCCTCAGTTCCTTCATGTTTTGGTATGCTTTGATGTTGTTCCCATTTTTTCCCTGGCACCGTCCATTTTGTATTTTTGAGGCGTGTCCTCCATTTTTTTGGGCAGTCCCGCGCAAAGAGCGAGCAAAAGAAAGGTGAAGAGTAGAGTCGAGATTCCGCCCATTCCATTTTTCGTGTCCTGAAACCACAAGTAGGCATCTATTTGGTTCACCCCTCGGCGACGGCTTATGACATAACACAAATTGTTTGGCTTTCCCGGCGAAACGACAAATCTACATGGTTCACGGTTCGAGTCTGTTAGATGTTTGGGGTGTAGTTTTTGTTTTGTTCCTGGCTATGTTGGTGAATGTTCCACACCCCTCTCAGCTCCCAAAGTGGAGTCATTCACGTTGACCATCCACCTGTCATTGAAAGCCGTTGCTAGTTTGCGAGGCTCGTCATCGGTATTTGGGCCTTCATCGCAGTCATTTGGTTCCTCGTCCTGGACAGCGGCATCGTGGAACCGCCTGGATTGCCTGAGGACACGCCAGGCGGGCAAGGAGGGCCGCGACGAGGGCTGCAAGGAGGGCCGCCACCGGAACCGGTGGTGATAGAGATCCCACAGCAACTTGGAGCAAGCAAAAAGGGGGGAAACCTTTTGTCAGAAGATCTCAGAAGTCCTGGCATAAACAAGTTTGAAGACCATTTTTCAGGACATACCTGTGCATCAACATGCATCAACTACCCGTTGGAATTTGAGATTTCGGCAAGGAGTTGAGGACAAGGGTATGGTTTGTCTAAAGCATGTTGGAATTGAGCAGGCACCTGCCCCGAGCACACTTGAGTTTAGGACCCACTTCAATTTGGGTGTTATTCACTGCAGGATTGTGGCGGGCTCATGCACACTAGAGGGACTGCCAGGGCAGCATGGCTGTTTATGTTTTTTTTCTTCACTGAACGGGCAAACAAATTAGCTTCCATTGACATTGATCATATGAGACAGATTACCCTAGGTCGATCCTTCCAGTCGGCTATCATCTAAGACGCAGATTAAGAAGCAGCAATTGACATAGGCACTTCCAAGGTCATTCAGCCGCCTTTCTTTAGGCGGCAGATCGTACCCGGGGTCGTCCCACTCTGAAAAGGCACGATGGAAACCAGAAACACATCAATCACCATTTTTCCGTATCCAGTCGCACCTTCTCAAAACTCAAAAGGTAAGACTTGACTGGACCCTCCAAAACCTACACAACAGTCTTTCCAATCACCTGAGAAGGTTGACTGGATCCCCAGGGTTGGAACTTGGCCCATTTGAACGAGTTTGCTCGTCGGAGGGTCTTTGCTTGCCGTATTTCCTCGGTGTTTGCAGATCGTGGAACATCAAACCGTAGGGCAGACCGACCGTATGCTTTCAGAAGGTATGTCGCTGTGGATCTTCAATGGACTCGTATGCCGGTAGTCTCTACCGGCCGTAGCTGAGGTACGACAGCTACGGCTCGTCCCTTCTCAGCCAGCTCTATTTGGTCACTGATGTTTTGCTTGAGCAACCGCTTGTTGTACCGTTGCATCATTTTCCCCACAGGTCACCCATGGCATCCTCAGCAGCTACCAGGGCACCCCTGGGCACGGATGGTCTATATAGAATCTGATTGTTTTGGCCCCAAAGTGTTTATATAATTATAGAATGTTGTTAGTGGTCCACAGGCAGGATGCACATTCACACCTCGTTCAAGTTTTGCCCAAGCAAAGACAGTAGACATTAGCTCTTTCATGTGTATTTTTGTTCACCACCCTTCATTTCTTCCTCAACATGCTGGGCGACCTCCCCGCCTTGTTTCTGAGCCCTTTATCTCCTCCCAGGCGTGCGATGGGATGAACTGGCACAACATCATTGACCAGATATCAGGGCATTTCTGGAGCACTGAGGCTACGAGGATCTCTTTCGTCCGCTGGCATTTCTGGATCGTCCGCAAAGTTCTTTTTCTCAGGACCCAGTTCAGTGGGGTGATCCCAGAGTCTCAGAGACACCCCTCAAGAGTCCCCTCAAGCTACTGGTACCAAGAGAGGTCCGCAATTCTGAAGATTGCAATTGTTTGCGAGTTTTCGCCCCGTCTGTCCCATTTCGAGTTTAACCAGTTCACGGATCCCAGTCTTTGAGCGACCTGGCATGGCACCAAGTGTAGGCCCAGGGAAGGACATGGAAGGACTGAAGGCAGAGGGGGCACGCCTCGGGGTGCCCTGGATGGAACTCAAGACGATTCCCTGTAAGATCCAAAGACCATATTTAGGACACTGCAGTAAAGGTCTTTCCAGTTCGCATCACCTCAAGAGAAATCTACTGTATATATATATATAAATTGTTGCATGGTCTTGGACTCCCAGAGTGTTCCTTCACAACTGCTTGGGTGGTGGCTCATCAAATCTTTTTGTTGCCCTCCTACTGCTACTGATGAACTATGTTGGGTGATGAATTCTTCCCACCACTCTTGGCTGTTCCCCATCACTATCAGGTCATGGTGCTGATCTTGGTCGGCTTGGTCACCACCAATGCAGCTTGGTCGACGGTTCGGCGGGGTCTTGGGAGTCCTGGAGCCGCCACTCTGGAGCACTAAGTAGTGGCGTTGCTGCCCTTTAGATACTGACAAATCCCATAAAATCCTAGGATAGTGATTAGTAATTAGACATAATTAATGAGTGCTTCCTACGAACCATGGCTTAGCATTTATGTAGTGCTGGTGCCTACTTTTCTATTTTTCTTCACCATGGTCATGTCCTTTACCCAGGCCATGATCGTGCTGGTTTATGAGCTGGCACGCCAAGCGATCGCCCACTACGAGCTGCAGAACCAGGCGCGACCCGCCGCTGGCCGATCTTCACTCTCCCCCAGTCATGCAGCCATGGATCATTTTAGACCCATACAATTCAGGGATGTTATATATCCTATAAAATAGATTTAAAACATAGAAACAAAAAAACATGGCATAAGTTTTGTGTGTGTGAACCTCAATCAAGCGCAACATGATCCCAGGTTCTTATTCCTTTTTCTCACCGGACCAGTGTCCACAGAGCACGAGCACGTCGTATACGGATTTCATCTCACAGGCCGCAGTGGTGCGAAAGCAGCTCATTGGGTTACATCATTTGGAACAGAAGCTGCTTGGCCGAAACCTTCCGGGACGAAAGAAACATGGCGAACTGCTGCGCGGCTTTTTGCTGCGCGTTGCCTGGTTACGCGACGGCGCTGCGACGGCGAGGGTGAACGTATGTGAACGTGGTGAATTCTGCTCAGAAGTCTGGGACAGCTGGCGCTTCTGGTTTGTTGCAACAGTGGCTGTTGGTTCGAAGTCCGTGTTTTGCATCACTTCCTGAGCTTGATGGCCCAAGTGCTGCACTAACCACTAACTATGACATATATATATATATATTTGTTCAGCCGCGAGATGAGCACCTGAAACGGGGCCTTCCTGTCGATTGTTTGAAGACATGTTTGAGTGGGCCCAGACCTAGCTGGAAGAGATATTCCCGTTTATTAACACGATGCAGGTGGATGGTCCAGGGGGTGTCAAGACAAGTTTAGATTGGTCACTGCGGCAACTATGACCCTAATGCCAGTCCCACTTTGCAACAACGAGCCAAAATGAGTCCGTATAAACAGGTAGATGAAGACAAGTTCAACCATTGCTGATTCTCTCGTCGTCCTTATGGCAAGGACAAATGACTGGCTTCAATAGAACAAGCCTTCCAGCGATGCATCGACAGACCCTGTGGAGGTTTTGGGAAGTTTCCAGCGATGCTGATGAAGGAGATGAGCTCTCCGTGATCGACCGCTCTTTGCTGGAGAAGGTCCTGCCGCACTGCCAGGAGGTGCCGATACCGGCGCTCCGCCGGTTTCCGCCGTCGGGTCCAAGTGCATCGTTTGGCACGGTTTCTCCATGAGAAAAAGCGGCACATCATGGCACAGTATGGGGGCCAAAGTTCATTCATCACATTTGCCGGTGCCGAGTTTGTGGCTCCTTTTGTTTGCCTTTTGCTCGTGTCACTCAACCCATCCTTTGGAGGAGCTGGCGGAGCAACATGTCACTGCTGAGGACGCTGGCGGTGGGGCAGGCTGACCATGATTCGGGGACTATTTGGTGTCAAAGGGCACTGTGTAAAAGGGAATGTTTTCCGCTGCTTTCTTTTGTCAGTTTTCTATTTGTTCTCCACGCTTGTGAGCCACATGCATGTGAGATCATGTGAGCACCTGACAGATAGGCGATCAGGATCGGATCAGAGCCATGTTAGCTCGGAGATGCAGCTTGGAAATCGCAGCCCCCAAATACCTCAGGATTCCAACCAATTAACTTACTGTAGCGGTTTTACCGAACAACCATTGTTTTTTACTATAAGGATTTCGGATAATGTTGGATCTTGATTAGTAAAGGGGGCCCCCCCTCCCTCAAACAAATGGAGGAGCCTCTAAAAAAAACTACCACCAACACAAATCTGGGTTCCTGGGAGGATTCCTTTTGTAATTGATTGTGCTATTAATGTTCCTTTCTGAAGTTCGTTGTCATTAGGTATTCTTTGCAATCCTTTCATACTATTACATAAAGGATTGATTAAGGAATTGATGGCTTTGGGAAGCTGTGAGTCTTGAAGAATAACTTGAGAAATCTATATACTTATCAATAATCTCAGCAAGCCAACCATTGGCTTAGTAGTATTAAGAATTGCTATTTTATTGTTCATCAGGAAAACACTTTGCACAATTGAGGACCCTTAAAACAAATTCATTATTGAGGATCACGGGCCTTCCTAGTCTACTACCTTGAAAATTTGTTTAGGAGCTATATGTACATTACATAAAGGATTGATTAGGGAATTGATGGTTTTGGCAAGTTGTCAGTATTGAAGAAGAACTATAGAAACCTTTACTTATCAATACTCTCAGCAAGCCAACCACTGGCTGAGTAGTATTAATAATAACATTTTTTCTAAAGGACATATAATCAACCCTAAATATTTTTCAGATAAGAAAAACATAGGATCCCAAAAAAGTTAGCATAATAGAGGACCCTTAAAACAAACAGGGTGTCAATAAATGTTTTTCAAAAAACATAGCATTATAGAGGGCCCTATTACTAATCAGCATCCAACATTGTCGATGATCATCACCGGTGCGATTTTCTGACATCAGCGGCGTTTCAACGATTTTAATTGCGGACAATCCTACCTACTTGTACCATTATATACCTATCCCAAACACTCCATGTATGGCATGTTTGCTTGCATTGGGGTGGTTTCAGGACTCAATGTAGGGATATATGTCCTATACATGGAGCGTTTGGGTATTTTAACAGTGGTGTCACCATGTATCACCCGTTAGTGGAGAACGTGAGAACCAAGAAGCACATCGGTGAGCAGGGTCCGGTCCCGACCAATCCCGGGCACCGAGCCTCCGATGGATGCAGGAAGTACGTGGATTGACCCTTTTTGGGGGAGGGTTCAATTCCCCACCAAATATGAACATGATGGACAAATGATACAAAAGGTTACGTATATATATATAATTTATATATACCCTTTCGATTCCATGGAAACTGAGGGAGTCTGATATGATTGCAGTGGTCATTGGACAGGATGTGACGTGTTTGGATGACAGAGTTTTGGCTGCCTATCACGCGAGGAAGTGCTGCAGCTCTTCGACCACTTGGAGGAGACAAACAACCGAACGGTGACTTAGATGTTGGACACGTTGATGATGGTGGCGGCTATATGTATGACGATTGTGGTGCTTGTAAGAAAGCGGCTCACGATTTGCAGCCCTTACAGGGGCAAGGGTTTTTCATGTTTACTTCCTTGAGGCTGCTGGCCTGGCAGTTCATTCCTATCAAAAAAATGCGCCGATTTACAGAGGTGATGTTTTACGACCTCCTCTTCGGCATCCTGCTCCTGACTAGCCCTGCTGGCTTGGCCGACTTCCTGCGGGTGGACCATTTGCAAAAGCAGTGCATCCAGCCACGCGGCCGGACCAAGGGACCCCAGGTGGGCCCTAAAAAAACGGGCCACCTGGCCGAGACCGGAGGCGTGTGAATGCAGAGAAATATATATATATATATGTGGCAGGGACCTTTTGGTAACATTTCGTTGCGGATGAAAAGCACCGGCACATTTCTCACTAGCGCGCACAGGTCTCATTTGCCCATGCCACCACGCACAGGGGAAGGAGAAACCGGACGTCGCGGGTCCTTAGATCGGTTTCTCATTGTTTTTCATTGTTCAATTATTGCACATGTATATTGGGAAGCATGCGTTGCAACTAATGAATCAGCCAAAGCGTCGTCCACTGATCTCTGGCCTGTGTGAAAATTCTCCCAGTAGAACACTCCTGGCTTTGTGCCTTGGATACAAGCGCTGATGGCTGATGGTTCCCGAAGCCTAGAACGGTTGGCATGACGTTCAAAAGCTTGTTACGCTTTTCAAAAGAGTACGGCCGCTTTTGCGTTCAAGCCAGGCTGCGGCTTTCGATCTTGCGCCAGCTCAAGTTGTACGCCTTTTCCTCACAAAGGTACCGATTGAAAAATCTTTTCGATAACCATCAACCGGATTGATTCCCGCGCAGATATGAACATAGTGTTTGGTGAATTCAACTCATGAGTGGCTTCGTGCCAAAACAAATGAGGCTCCCAAAAGCCACGTGATCATACGGTTGAAAGAGTTAAAAGAATGTCTCCGTCATTTTCGCGTGCCAATCATCCTTGCGTCTTTGCAACGCGTCGAACCATCCTTTGGAAGGGACAGAGGCCTCCACCATTTCCTCAGCGTGCAACTCTGAAACGCCCAGGGCGCATTGATTGAATTGTTTGTCCATGTCGGGCCGCCAGAAATATGTTGATTTGAGCGTTAAACAAAAGTTCCTGCAACTCCGTAACTTGCCCGCAATTCTGCCAAATCTGAGACCCTGGCGTGCCATCTGGGCTTGAAGCCCCTGCCAGGTGGTGCGGATGTAAATGGTCTACGCAGGTAAACTGTAAAGAAAGAGCCACTCTTGCAAAGCAATACATGTTCTTTTTGGTGGCTAGAATCAGACTCTGCTCCACATGGATTGTGAAACTAACAAGCGCAAAACACAAGCCAGAGCACAAACCTATGTACGTTTTTGTTGAAGCATCAGCTTTCGTAAGCTCAACAAATCATATGTTTCTATGTTCGCTCGGCACCATAGTTCTAGTTTCTCTTTGGAGCGGCGTCCTACACCACCGGAGTATGGATTTCGTCGCCCGACTCACCTTTCTGCACCCGGAATACAATCCGACGGGTCACGAAAGCATTGTCTCCCCAACGACGCACTGGCCTTGCCACCGTGGACACCATATACATCGACGGGTCCCGTAGCTCCTGGATGGGGCAACCACATACCATGACTTACAAAAAAGAATAAGCATGAATAGCACGTATATTGTTGATGCTTTGACAGTTTGCATGGCTTTTGAAGAGTTTGTTTGCTTTTGTTGTGTTTACTCTTCTTCACACTCCGCAGACCTTCGCAGGACAATGATACTTGGCTAAGATCCTTTATCTAAGCTTACTGTTCTGCTTCGACTCTTCACCTCCACCTCGCCAGATCCCCGATTCGACGAAGCGGGTGTCCTTGGACTTCTCAAGGGCAAACTCCAAGAGCTTTGCCGCATGCTGTGGCGGAAGGCCTGGGACATCGCAAACATCCGATGGTTAAAAAACACAAAACAAACAATGCACTTCCAAGTCTGTCAAAAGAAGTCCTTCATCAAAAGGATTCTGATCAAAACCTTTCAACCAGCTCTCTGGAGAACATGTGAAAAAAGAAAAGTCTGATACCTTCTATACATCTCAAATATCATTACATCTGTGTCTTCATAACTCTACGCCGTTCCAGTGGCCTGTCACTGCGACGAGCGCTTCGTTTTGTACCGAAGGACCACCTTTTTGCACCTGGCTCCTCAGTGACGACCACATATCCATCCGACCGGGAAGATCGAAAGCGGACGTTCACAATCCACCGAAACATTGCTTTTGGTTCAAGGGGCGACCATCTGCATGGAAGTCTATCATAGAAATTAAGGGGGGACCATCTGGATGGACGCTGTATTACAACTCACCGACTGCCCTCGACCAAAATCTAATCTCTGAGAATCAAATTGGATTAAAGTTCACAGGGTATGTTTCTTGAAGTGCTTCACTGTCAGTCTCTATGTTTCACTTCAGATCCCCACAGAAGCCGCTCCATGGTTATTGGATCAATGCCTTCCGGGCCTGAGCCACGAAAAGACAGTCGATCCGAGAAACTTTCCCATTCGTTTCCAGGAGACAACTGAAGAAGCCATGCCATGGTATGTGAAAAGTAAGGAACTAAGCAGTAAATTGATTTTAGTGTTTATGTGAGGAAAACACCTCTTGATATGGGTAGTGGCCCTGTCATCGACCGTCTCCCCACTCCTCACCTGAAGGTGCTGCATTTTGCAGACCTTTCGCAGCTCCTGTGCCAAGCTTTCCGCATTCAATCGGATCAAGGAAAACCTAATGCAGCCTATAGGCAAACCGACCTGGCGATGATCTGTGATTGGTAGATCACTTGTCAATGTGTCAACTTGTCAACGGCTAATGCGTTTGTGTCACTCATTCACTAATAGCCGAAGTGTCTCGCATCACGACAATCAAACATGATTCGAAAAAAACGGCGCGGAGCGCTTCGGCGTAATCCGCCTGGAGGAAGCTTCTCAGCGACCTGCAGCCATGAAGATTTCGTAAAGTTCCCTCATGACACATGTCGTGGCGTCGTTGCTGTGCTAACTGTTCTCAGAATGTGCACTGTGTAGTTTGTTCTGTCCTATTTCAATCCGTACCCTTGCGCACAGCTGAACGCTCAGCATGAGAGCCGGGCCTCTTCGGCTCGCGCAACACACTGCTTCTTTGCCGCAGCGCCGCGCTCACCTGTCATGCCGGTGGCGCATCTTTGGGTATGAATATGCCATATAATGTTCCGCTGTACCTTCTTGTCTACAACATATGATGTTTGATCAATATTCTTTCATCCTGGAATGGCCATTCATCGCGAAAAAGCAGATATCTTTCGCGGATCTTTCGCGACCTCATCGCGAAGCATGTTCCTCAAGAGAGGTTGGTTACTTAACATGTTTTGGGTGAGTCAGAGAGTCATGTATATTTATATATAGAGATACGGTGGGCGGAAGAAGAAATCCTGCACCACTTTGATACAGCCGTCATCCAAAGCTGACAGACCAGCAGCCCCACATCCCTATTCCAGGTCGTTGGGGTATGGGGGTGGGGTCAAGTTTGGTAGGCAGAACTTTATCGGCACATTCGTGAAACTTTCGCGGATCTTTCGCGAAAAATCATTAATGATTTCCCCATTGGCTCAAACTGGCTCAGCCAGGTGATTGCACTTTGGCTGTATTTGGCGCCATCTCTGTGGCTAGATTGCTTCAAGCACAAATGCCTCTGACAACTATACACATCTGTGATCTATGACACATAATACAGGAATCCCACAAACATACGCTACACTACACATTGACATCCCAAAACAAACTGAAACCAAGTAAAGTTCTACGTAGAAGCTTTTTATCCAGTGGGCCATAAAAGGAGAACCAATATTAAAACCAGAACCTTCGATAAATCTTTCGCGAAAAACATGTACTTTCGCGAACCTCATCGCGAAGCTTTCGCGGAGGGTTTTAACAACATCTAAAAGGCTGTTTTATATTAAACTCCTTACGCTGGGTTTTCGATCATCTCCCATATGGCTCACAACTACTTTTTGGACATGCCCGGAAGGACTCGATTCGCCGTCAAACCCGGGTATAGGCCTTCCACGGCAAGTCCATACCAATCTGCCATCCGCTTGGCGCGCCGCTCTCTGCGCGCCATGGCAAAGGGCCAAGGGGTGAAAAGCGGAGCAACCGTAAACATAGAACATTGCAGTCAACAATGAAACATCTGTCCTTTATTGCCTTTTGAACGGATGACTTTTGTGACATTGAAACCCATTGAAACCCACGACACTTCCGCGCACCCATGGGGAAAAAAGGAAAAACTATAGCCAACAGTTCACATCGACATGCATGGTGAAGCGTTTCGTTTAGTCTCTCGGTCTCTCGTCTATTGTTTTTCGTCTTAGTCAGTCAGAATACAGCAGCATATGAAAACTATTTAGCGCATTTAGCACATTAGTCTTTTGTTGTCTACCAGAAAAAACGTCCAGCCAGCAATCAAGTTTTGCGTATTAGCGCTGTGCACGTCCATCCTACACACATATGATATGGCACGCAGTGAAACCTAACTATAACTCCACCATCTGCAAGAAATATAGAAAAAGCTAAATTATCCTTTTTGTAACAAATACTATTTGCTGTCCCCGAAATTTTTCGAATCAGTCTACCATGTCAACACTACCTTAAAACAACAAATAGTAGTAATAGTAGTCGGGATGCGCTTAGCAATGAAAGGTGATGAACCAAAATAAATTGGAAAGAGAAATCACATCACCAGAAACAAAACCCATGCATGCCAGATGCACCACTTGTTAACTCACAACCCTGGTACGGGAAGAAAGGAGACCGGGACCAGCGCAGCAAACCAGCCGTGCAAGGGTGGCTCAAAGAAGAAACCTACCACCCCAAAATTTAACCAAAAAGGTCGCAACGAATGAAGACCCCTTCATAAAGGAGAGTGCGGGCGGATCAAAAAGAGAAAAGGACACAACAAAGCACTAAACCCGTGGCGGAAGATCCGCCAACAAACGTTGCCCTATTCCAAGAGCAACCCTACTTGGCTGAACTCATGACCAGTAGATCCAACCAACCGATTGAAACAAATCATTGCAAGCAAATCACCGTTTGTTGTACGCTCGCGTACACGTCCCAAGACTTCAGATCTCCACAAGGTAGGCAGGTTCCGAAGCGTGACAGCACTTCCCTCAAGATTTTTCAAGATGACCTCACCGAACCTGCTAACAGCC